CATATTCAAAAAGAAGTTTTTGTTTTTTGTTTGATGATGTATTTATAACGAAAAATTATATATATTTTTGTGTATATATTGGTAAAAAATCATACGGAATTCACAAATACCTATTGCGATATTTTGGACAATTATACATATTTAGTGTATATATTGGTAAAAAAAAATCATACAGAATTCACAAATACCTATTGCGATATTTTTGACAAAATTGTAATTGTTTGTGAAAATCGTATTCCCCCACATTAATGAGACAATAGATAGTAGGACGGTCTTGCGAAAACAATTTATATACTGTAATAGTGCAGATGCATTCATTTTGATTTTTTTAATTATGCCCCCGTAATCAAGATTCGTGGGCATATAGTTTTTGCTCTGTCCGTCCGTCTGTCTGTCTGTTTATCTGTTTGTCCGCAAAAACTTGAACCTTGCCCATAATTTTTTATTAATTGGAGCTATGGCTTTCACATATCACATGTGTACTCCTTGTGACAAGTCCTTTCTTTGGGTACCAACATATTTGACCTCTCGACTTTGGAAATTGACCTACTTTTGCAAAATTTCACCAAACTTTAACCTCGGCCATAACTTCTGAATGAGTGGTGCTAGGGCTTTCATACTTCATTCGTGTAATCCTTGTGACAAGTCCATCCCTTGGGTACCAACAATTTTGACCCTTTTACTTTGACGTTTGAGTTTGACCTACTTTTGAAAAAAAAAACTTAAACCTTTTGAACAGTTAGTGCTAGGGCTTTCATATTTCACAGGTATGTTCCTTGTGACAAGACCTTTATTGAGGTACCAACATTTTTGACTTCTTGACCTTGGAGTTTGACTGCATTTGAGAAAATTCAGCCTTCGCCATGAGCTGCCATACGCATACGGGGGCATAAGGTTTCACAAACACAGCTAGTTCAGCATTGAAGTCAGATGACGTCTCCAGCATACCTAGCTTAGTGGAAAAATCTTTGGAATATTATATATAGAAACCACTTACCTCGACAGGGCCTGCTCATTACGAGTGCGAAATTGGCTCAAGTCTGTTCACATTTCAGACTACTTTTTCGTCTGCTTATTCAATGCGTTTTGTCTTCATCTCTAAGTTTCTTGTATTTATTGTCAAACTTTTTAAAATGATTCGATCATTATCTGTCAGCAATGCAATAATGCTTTTGCTCAGTGAGATAGCTGTGTATTAAGCAAAATGATATTCGTTGCATTGTAATGAATGTGCCGAATAGTGACTATTGTTATATGAATAGAAAGTATGTCTAGGCCAACTTTAAAATAATGTTTGCTTGCCCTCTTCCGAAAAATTTGGGTCGTTTCAACATCAATGCTGAATTTTCAAAATATAATTTCCGGAATGCATAAAAAAAATAATTGCTTCCTGGAGGTTAAAAGTTTTGAGTCGGGCCATTTTTAGCCAGTCGGTCGGGAGAGGGCAACCAAACAATTTTTTAAAGATGGCCCTAGCTATGCTTTTTGTCACAGTAAAAAGGTTATCAAATGATTTAAAAAAAAAAAATCTCAGGTGTGTCTGCTCTTTATTGTGAAAAAAAAGAGAAAAAAAGGATGCATTTTCTAGATAAATAAATTATAACAAAATAGATAAATAAATAAAAAAAATAATTAAAAAAATAAAATTACTCAACACAAATGCGGCTACAACAATAGTTCTTGGATACAACGGACAGTGTACTATTTTTTTTTTAATTTGTCCAATGTATTTGTTTTCCAAATGTCATTTCTTTCAGGGCCGGATCTCTATTGACAAAGAATGACATGTTTCAATACATTTGGAAAAAACATTAATTTATTTTAAAAATATAGTGATAATAAGTCTGAAGTAAATCATATAAAGGGATTTTCTGCTAGTTTTAAGAAGAAAGATAACAAATGCTTGTTAAAGGTTTATTTCAAGTTAACGTTATAAGCAAAGAAAGCTAGTATGTAAGTATCACAAGTTTGTAAGTGTATAACATGTTATTGTGCTATGTATGTAATTGATTTATATACATATAATATTGTACTGTAATGCTTATGGGATGTACATATACGTCCCACGGAATAAAGAACTGAACTGACAATTGCTGGCAGAATATTAATTATCCAAGTATTAATTATCGGTATTGTTTAATTAAATCAAATAATGAGCAGTAGAAAACAATACTTGTTTGTTTAACACAGTGAACTAATTTTCGTATTTGTTCAATGTATTTTTTCCAAACATCGTCTTTTCAAAGTTGGATTTTTAATGGCTCTTCAACTTGCAAAAAAACTTTCATGCAGTGCAAAATTGAAATGATAAAATTCAGCAATTCAGTTTTAGCAGAACGTAGCTACACAAGGATACTTAAATTCCAGTCTGGGATGTTTTTTCCTGAAAATATTTTGCATTTTCATCTGCATTGTAGCAAAGCTATAGCGTAACTGTATGCGGATGCAACAGCAAATCAATCATTGAGAGAATATATAGTAGAATATAGTTTTGCGTATGGATATACTCTGAATGGGAATGTACAAGTAGAGCAGGTTTTTCAAAAGTTAAGCAGAACTGTTACCATTATGCTAATTTACAAAACAATTGTTTCTCCCACCCCTCTACGTAAGCGCAGAGTTTTACAGATGTCAGATGACGTCTCCACTATACCTAGGCTAGAATCTGGGGGAAGACTATCACAGCATATAATAGAAACAACATACCTGTCCTTTATCACAGCGCCTGCTCATTACGAGTGCTAAACTGGGCTGAAGTCTGAGACATTTGATTGTTTAATTTTGCCTTCATCATTAAGTTTCTTGCATTTATTTACGAACTTTTTGAAAGGATTTGATACATTATCTGTCAGTAATGCGGCAAAAAGTTTAGCTCCATGACAAAATTTCGTAGTCCGACTCATGTATGAAAACACCCAAAAATTGTGTTCAACGAAAAATGAAGTATATTATATTATGCGTAAATATGTAAACACTTACTTGCTTTCCCCTCTGTCATCCCGAGTAGGTTTGTTAATTCTGGATCATCCTGGTTAACACAAACTTTCTGAAGTATATGTTGTTGAGATAACGATCGGGAAGTTTTTTTTTAACACATTTATTAATTACAGACAAACAGACGGTCAATGTGCATGCCAATCTTGAAATTATCTATTACGCTTCAAAAGTTCATGCCAAATAACAAAGATTTTGCAGAGGATACTCCTCTGGAATGGAAAGCGTTAATGCTGGATATATATATCTATCATTTGTTCGACCAGTTGTAGAATATGGGGATGTGGTATGGGATAATTGCACTGAAGAACAATCCAAATTACTGGAAAGTGTTCAGGTGGACGCCGCAAGAATAATTACAGGTATAAGGCGCAATACATCCAAAACTAACCTATATTATGAGTTGGGATGGGAAACCTTAAGTTCAAGAAGGGAAAAGCACAAGCTCACACTGATGTATAAAATCCTTAATAACCTTACCCCTGATTACATGTATAATATGCTCGAAGGATGTATGCCAATTCAGCATAATTATAATTTACGCAACCCAAACTCATATCGTATCCCAATCACTCGAACAGTGTCTTGCTATAATAGTTTTGTACCATCCACAATATCCTTATGGAATAATTTACCTGATGATTGTAGAACTTCCCCTACATTGCAAAATTTCAAAAAAAGATTAACCTACACCAATCCCATCCAGAAAAATAAAGTCAAGTTGTATAATTATGGGAATAGAATTGAAAATATACTACATTGCCAGTTGAGAAATAAATGTAGTAACCTTAATGCTGATCTTTTTAAAGACCACCTTAATGATTCACCAAAATGTACAAATTGTGGATACCAAACTGAAGATTCATTACATTTTTTCATGTATTGCCCACAATATGTTCTTCAAAGACAGATGCTGACTAAATATATGAATGAGAATGGCATACCAATTAATATAGATAATATACTATATGGTGCTGCATTCTTATGTTTAGAAGACAACTTTTCATTTTTTTATCATGTACATACCTTTATAAGAAACTCAAAGAGGTTTTCACTGAAATCTTAGTTTATCATGATATGCTAGGAAGAATATATCTCATTTTAGGTATGTTAAGGAAGTTTTTCCACTCTGAGTCAACTTTATTAATATGTTTTTTTGTCTTTCTCTCTCTCTATTTACTCTCTCTCTCTCTCACTCTCTGTGGATTCACTTTATACATGCACCAATTAATGGTTTATTTCATATACTGCTTTTCAATGTTAAATGTACTTTATTATGTTTTGTTTCTCTTTATTTTATTCTCTCTTTCTCTGGATTCACCTTATATATGTACCAATTAATGATCTATTTTACATACTGTTTTCAATGTTAAATGTACCAATAATTGTTATATGTACCTTGACCTATGGAGAGAACGATTATAGGCATTATGCCTGCTGTTCAATCCATTTCATTTGTAATGAATAAATATATTTTAAACTAAAGATTTTGCAGAAAGGATTGATATGTCCGAGCTTGTGGGTATAAAAAAATTGCAAAACGTGAAGATCACGTAAAGTATTTCGTACCTCATGACATATAATTGACTTGAAATAACTCATCGGGAACGTTTAAAATAAAGAAAAACGAAAAACTTTTACTTTGACATTTTATTTACAAATTGTGTACATGTAAGCAAAAGTACTACATTTAACTGACGCATACTTATTCAGCAAGGAAAAAAAAGGTAAATTGAACAAAAATGAACACATATATTTGTACTCAATAATTAGAAAATATACATATAACAATAGATAAAAAAAAATTACATAAAATCGCAAAGTATAACATTTTAACGACAAAATTATAAACGAAAAACCGTAAATAACTGTACAAACGACGAAATATTTGTTCTTGCATGACTCTTCTCTAAAAAAAAATATTATGTAGTAAAGCTCATCACATGAACATTGAAGGAAACTCGGAATAATAGTTGTTTTAATTAGAAAATTCTTGATATAAAAAACAAGAAAAAAAAATATAAAGACTGTCTTTTTATTACTAGAGTATAATAAAATGTAAAAGAAAGTAAAAATATTTCAAATTCCAAACAATATGGAGGTATGTTTCATATTTCTAAATGTCCAAATGCATGATATGAAAGCCTTTAATACATAATTTTTTAATAAAGCAATTTGCACAACATCGATTAAATCTCTGCAATATACAAACTTTTTAAAAATAAATCTTTTAAAATGTAACAATATAAATGTATCCATGACGTCAACTGTAGCAAATGTGAGTTTGGGCTGTCATGTCAGCTTCTGTACAGTAATATATTATATCATTTCATCATTCTATCAACATTTTAGTAAAACAAACAATTCAACTGTGTAAAAATTAAATTAGACAATAATAATTCATAAATATTCATGATATTTGTACAAGTTTAATACAAATAACGTCGTTTTGACGCACTCAACAAGATATAATACAAAAACTCCAAAACATATTGCATTTGTATATCTTCATCACTGCAAATCAAAATTGCCGATGAATCACCATGAATTTGGATATTTGTTTCAGCAATGCCTCCAAATGCACAAAGAAAATCTCTTTGCCTTTGTTCCCATGCTATTCAGAGCTCGTGTGTCTATGCTAGTTGTATCTCTTTATTCAAAACCTGCTTGGCATAAAATAAAAGCGCTTCCCATGTGTATGGGAAATAGGATGGATTGAGATACAATAACTATATTCAGATCACCAGATGTGACATTTCTTTATTGGGTTCATACGACTACCAAGAGGACACTTGTACGCTTCCGAAAAATCGTAGGAATTGGATAGAGGCCCTAGGACCCTAAAAATTAATAATGATGTGCTTAATGGACATGAAAGAGAAGTGTGTTATTTTTTCTTGTTCAACAACAGCAAAATAATTCATTTAGGGAAAAAATATGAAGTACTGAAGTTCATATGGTTTGTTATTTGAACTGGCATGAGAGTATACGCTGTAGTAAACAAAACTCTTTACCTGTCGGGTTCAAGAACCGAAAGCTCCCAAAAATATGCTTGAGATAAGATTAAGTCGACGTTATTAAAACTCGTACAATGCATACCAATGTATGTGTACTTGTTCGAAATCAGTTCACGAAGTAAATTTTTTTTTTACATGTTGCTAACATTTTGAAAATTAAAATACTTTGTTGTATAGTGCAAATAAATCAAGAGTCTGTGAATCCTAAATTAAAGTGGTTAATTTTTCAAGTGCTGAGAAACAACATACTATTTTAACGTATGAATATTCCTCAAAATTGCACTCATTTGTAGAACATATCTATTGTTCCATATGAATCTCGCAAGCAAAAATCGGATAAAATCTTACCTCAAGCACTAAATTGTCCTTTTTTTAGTCCAAAATATAGTTTTATGTAGTTTCACATATAAAGCAACAATTCAAAAAAATTATCCCTTAAAAGAAACAGGTCCTTAATTAAAAAAACACAAAATATGTATGGGTGCCTGAAAATCGCATGAAATCTGTTTTCCTGTTGATAATAAAAAGGATCTCATCCAATCACCCAATTCAATTTTTTTTTATTGTAAAGACCCTAACATTATAATACTCCGTCTCTTTAAACACTTAAAAATATGCTTCATGCTGAAAGTAAGCTATATTCCAAATCATGTCTATAGATTTCGGAAAAGGATTAGCTACATTATCTCTAGAAAGAGGCATATTTCAGAAAAATGTAGGTACAACTCAAGAAAAGCAAACGAGTTATCTATCTTTCAATGAAAAAGATGTAACAAGGTATAACCCTTTCACGGCGTTACCATCCTACCTTATTGATCCCGGACTGTGAACGGAAGTCCTTATTTTTTCTAGTGCTTCTTCATCACGCATACTTCCACACCAGATCTTAAATATAGAGTATAGTCCTAGATTACTAACCATAAAATCTACCCATTTCCAATATGAAAATTGCTTTTAGAGTGCACAGTTGACGGACCTCATTAGAACTTTCCAATAACCTGATTACTTAACGGTACATATAGTATTTCGTTTTGATCAGTGCCATTTACATAAAAAAATCAAAACTGCTAAATGTTCAAAAATTTCATATATTAGTACTATACATACGAGTACTTTGACAAACCATAACATTTCTGCGCACGGAATATAAAATTTTGTATAACAGTACAAGTCCCAATTACACCAGCATATATACAGTAACTTAATAGGTAAGTGCATTCATATTTCATTTATTTTGTTGAAATAACCGTTTGAATATTCTTAAACGAATCAAATGTAATATTTGTCTTCGTTTCACAGTAAAATAGACAATTATAAGGCACCAATTATTAATCAACTTTCCACTAGTAGCAAAATGCACATTTAGATGCTTTGTTTCATGCGCCAAAGTTTAGATATGCATGGTCAACTTTTTTTCAGTTGACGGCTATTTAACGGTTATGAACAATCAATATCAAATACAAGTTACATTTCAAATTAAGTAATGTATTGAATTGTGTAATGTACTGAATTGTGATATACGACGACACAAAATATAATATCATAATTATAAATGTATGTGTAATGCAGCATGATTCAATATGGTAGTGACCTGCGTATCACAGAGCTTTTCTGATTATTAAAATCAAGTTTGGTCTATTGTTTCTGGATAATGAAAAAAAAGATCATAGAGAGACACACTGAAATATAAAGGATCTACGTGTATTTGGAACAACAATTAGCTACGACCTATAGAAAAAAAAATTGAATAATTCAGAAAAAAGAGGCGACTGGGTTCACAAAATTTCAAGTTAATCTTTTCCCCTCATCATTCCCTCTTTCTATCTTTGTTAATAAGTTATTACAAGATTTCTTTGAACAATAATTATTGATATCTGACGCAATTTTTACCTGTGCGTAGTTGAGGAAAAACAACTGCTGATGAGAGAGACCAATTCCAGGTAGATCTTTCTCAGGTCCATACTTTTCTAACCACTTTTTGTACGCCTAAGTAATAAAAGATTTAATACATTTTATTGTTATTTTCTTTTCAAAAAGTGGCTTAAAATTATCTGCTGCATAAATGTCTGTATTACCTACCCGATAAGCCTGTTTGAGACCTCCGTTATCGGCAATGTTTTCTCCCTGTGTATTTTTCCCATCAATCTAATAAACATATTTTTAAACAAGATCTAAAAATATATTTCTAACGTTTACACATTGAGCAAACCTACAAACAGCGAGCACCAAACTTTTGATATTTAGAGATAATTGCCAATACCTCGTATGTAATTATGTTAGAAAGTAGATGCACGATGCCAAACTCATTCAGTTGTGAGCACAGAAATTGAATTACTATAGCGACTCGTTTTTATCTTGTTGAGTCTCAATTTTCATGGATTTCGAGGGAACGAATATGGAACTTTTACAAAACATTACCTATATACTCCATATCTTTTTAATTAGATTCATAAATAAACCTGTTAATATTTAGCAATCTACAAAAATAGCACTCACGAATATTAATAATTCTACAGTACTTATTAGACTGCATGCAAATACAGTAATTATGAGCAACATTCACTGAAATGTTAAATGTTATTCATAGATCGAAGAAAATTATTTTTTCAGGCGTCAGACAGAATTATTTTTTTTCCGCCTCAAAAAATTTATCCCTTAACTATGTTCCAAAAGCGAAAAGTTGTCAACGAGATTTAAAACTTATAACTTGTTGGACAGTTTAGTTGACCTACATTGAGACCTATCTGTTCCAGTTTGTAGCTAGAGTACTGGTCAATCATACACTGGGCTCTAGACCTAAAGGCTTCAATTGTCTCATTCTTCCACCATTGCTTCAAATTTCCTGTCATATCGTACTGTCGACCTGGCAATAAAAATCACTCTGCATTAAATGCTATAGCTACCCATCTATTCTTCCACCTTTCAGAGTGTTAATAAAATTCAATTATTTCTTTAAGAATACGCAATTGTTTTTAACTAGAACTGCAGGTGGTCGAAGTCTTCGTATAAAGTATCTAAATTCAGGATGTCCTTTACTTGCTAATTGTTATTTATCATTTTCAAATATCAGCTATATTATTTAAATGAATAATTATTACCTTTATCATCGAATCCATGTGTGATTTCGTGTCCAATAACTACACCAATCCCACCATAGTTTAAAGATCTAATCAGAGAAACAGAAATTTTACAGAGGTAATTAAGGGTCTTAGCACTTTCTATGTATCTTAGCCTGAAGAAAATTAATCCAATTTTTGAAAAAACTTTCAACCACTGCATGTATTCTGTATAAAATTTCAAAGAAGCACATTCTATCATTGACCATTTTTTTTCTTCTACAAGTACAAGGTGATGAAAAAAGTTTAAATTCAAGACATTGTCACAAATTAAACTCTGCTTAAAGATGCTTATGAGATATCCCCATGCATATTTATTTTCACAGGAATGAATAAAATATATATATTCGAAACATTTATAGGAATATGTTTTAGAAATATCTGAAAAATAAGTATTTTGTAAATGAAATCAGTCATCTTTTTCCATATACTTACAACACCATGCATGTTATTTAGAGAGATTAATAATTTAATACTCCAAGAAATGTTTTTAAGAAAAATATTTTAAAAAATTGTCTTAGAAAATAAAACTTTATGTACGGCTCCCTGCCCAAACATGTGTATAGGAAAGTCAAATTTAGAGCTTTGTATGCACCACAAAATTTCTAGGTTTTGATTATTAAGGCGTGTACTTACTTCGGATAACGATCGCTGTAGAATGGAGGCTGTAATATACCAGCAGGAAAAACTGTGAAAAAAAATCTTATTTTCAAATAGTTGAAGTATCAAAACATTATATACAACGTTATCTAGAAACCATGTTGTCAACAATTCAGACAACAAGGATTGAAGTCAATGATCTAATATACCAAGAGACTAGAAGCTATTCAGATGAAACTAGGTGTTAGTAATATTTCTCTCTATCTGACTTGTTAAGCTTTATCGGTTTGTTAATAATTAATGGCCTGTTGTCTGATATCACACATTGGTTTACAATTAAAATGATATTTACCAATGTCATTTGTGTTAGGATTGTAAAATGCGTTCACTACTGCAGGATCTTGCTCCCATCTTAAATAGAAACATTGCACATATTGTTAAATGCAAATCATATGTTTGTTTACATATAAAAGAAATAAAATTCAATAACAATGTTATTCAAAAATTAATCGCATGCTTTACAAAATCATTTTCTTAGTAAATTTTCTCTCATTTAAAGAATTAAAGGTATCGCTTGACAATTTTTCTACAGTGTTTGGACTTACTGATCTTTATCCACAGGTTTTCGAAGTTTCTTCATTACAGATGCCACTTCAAATCTCTTAATATTCATCAGATTTGAAAAGTACTCCGGGCCTATATTCAGCTGTCAATGAAGGAATATTGATAGTGAATGAAAGTTCATTTTGAATTTATATTGCATATGTCTTGCAGTGGTAGTAAGAAATAATAATTTGGATTATTGTCATTAAAATATTGAATTTACCAGAAGGCAGTAAAGTATAGAAATTTCCAATATGACAGTCTATATATGACTACCATGTACAAATTCTGAATCGATAAATTCTAAATTAATGAAGTAAACTGATGCTGGTGTATGACTGTGAAACAATCTACTGTCCTCTTCCATCATATTTTATCAATAGAAGTTCTTCATATCAGATATAGAAAGAAAATCCTATTTGATGACAGAAATACTTACATTTCCATACTTATTGTTCAGTTTTGATTCATTTTTAATGAAATCAGGATAGCCAATTCTTTCATTCATTGCATATGCCTATAAGATAATCTTTGTTAAAAATATGTAGAAATTCTTTTGGTGAAAAATAGCTTTTTTAATATGTACTAAGCGTGTATGGATTTCTAAAATATTCAGAAGTAACCTACATGATAGAATCTTACAACTGGAATAGAAAGTTACTAGGAGACTTGCTATTTTGTTAATAAAGCTGTATAAAGGTATGTACCTTATATCTCATCATTAAACAAATATTGATAAAAAAAAAAGCTTGATATATGTACCTTTACTCTCGCCACTTTACGAGTAGATTCATCCATCCAGTCATTTTCATTCAAAAGCTCGTTGAAGGCTTCTCTTAAATTGTGAATCATATTCAGTGCCTATAAAATCACAATGGTTTCTGATTTTTATGCTTTGAAAAGTAGCTCACAACCAAGAGACTAGGAAGCCATTAATCATGTCAGTTTCTATGAAGAAATACATTTTAAGAACATGCTTTCCAAATTAAGTCTCTATTTTATAGAAGACTTTTTAGTACCGGTACCACATAAAAAATTGCAAGATACCGACACTTTGAAAATCTAGAATACAAAGCAAAAATTTCTTCAGTAAAATCTTCAAAAATGATGCACGGCTAAGGCTTTAGTGTTCTTTTTTTTTCAAATTCATAATGTACAGCCCACTAGCTAACATTTAACTTTCTTTTTTAAATGTATGATTAACAGCCTACTTACCGCTTCTTTACTTTCTTTTTTGAAATTCTCTCGTATAAACATGGCGCCCACTGCCATTCCCATATCATCATTTGTCAATTCAACACATTTCTGCCATCGTGGCTTGTCTCGTGTTATTCCCTGGAATTTTGAAAGATTCTTATTAACAATTTTGCTCTAGGAATACAAACCTTACACAATTGTTATATACAAAGTTTTGCTCTAATATAAAAACCATTCATATAGTATTCAATAATATTTTTATTATAATTAAATAGTTTTGAAAACATTCATTTGTGATGATCACCCTATTATAATACTTTAAGTTAAATTCATTGGTTAACATTAAAGGTTTTTTAACTTATAATTGTGAGGTCAATTAATATCGTAATTCACTATTTTCTTATTTACCATTCCACATAATAACCGTAATTGATACTATATGTTGTATTTAAGGTTGGTCATGTATTTTCTATGTGTTAAATATAGTAAATTCAAAATGTACAAAATATAGTTTAAGTATTGTACTTAAAAATCTAAAAGAAAATCTTTTTCCTAGATTAAGCGTGAAACTAACTGAGACATAACTGTAAATATATATCTATAAAAATCTAGTAAAAAAACTTAATGTTTGTCTACCATAGTTTTCTGCTAGTTAAAGGCTCCGGATCTTATGATAAAGATATCAATAGAACTTACTTGTGATTTAGCTCGATATTCTCTGCGAACCTTTTGGTACACTTCTGGTAAGTCGGGCAGGAATTCTAATACTACTCTCCAAACTACATAATTGGCTATAATTCTGTAAATCAAATGTTCCTACTATGCACTAAATTTACTGCATAATTTGTTATGTATACAACTAATATTGATATCAAAGTTCAATAAATCAAATATACCTTTTGTCGGTGACGACCAACAACTCTGCCATATCTTTCATATATCCTGGAGCAAATGAAACAAGATTTTCTTTGTAGCCCAATGTATATGGTATGAACTTTGAAAAGTACTCCAACCATTGAAACTAGAAAATAGGATACTCCCCAGTTACATACTGCAGTAGGTTCTCAGATTTAGGAAATAAGTAAAATTGATTTTTTACATAAAACATTGTTGGATTTCTATTTAAAGACAATATTAATACAATATTTTGCAAAATATTTTGAAAAAAAAAAATGCTATGAGTTGATTTAACTACTATAACTTAGTAGGAAGGGTGCACGATGCATAAAAACTGTTTTGAAGAGGACCAAGATATGTATGTATATTTGTGTGGGGACAATTAAGCAGTGTCAAGCCTATTTTAAGGCAATAGAAAGAACACGATAAAAAACCCTTTAGTCTGATGCATTCAAGGGGAAATGAATATGTCCTGGCGATCAGAGACCTAGACAACTGGGATAAAACAAATATAAATGAATGAACATTTTTGCCTTTATTCATATATTATTTCATATACTGTATTATACATAAATAGAAATATGCTGGATAAAACTCGTCGAATATAATATGGAGGAGCAAGTCAAAAGTTATTTGGTTCTTTAAAGCTTAAAAATATATTTAAATTTCAAATATATTTTTATATCTATTTCTCATGCACATTGCACTGAAAGAATGTTATTTTTTAACACAGTTAAAAAATCTCAAGTTTAAAAAAATTCTGAATCCTAATCTTAATTTTTAAATTTTTTTTTAGATGGCATAGGTACATATGTTGTAATATTCATTTACAACATATATACAACACGATCAAGAGAGAACAGGTTTAAGAACATGTTCGTGATCAAGTCTGACAACTCCGATACTAAAATTACAAATCTTTTTCATAGAAAAGCGGTTAATGATCATACTAGATATTAGCTAGCATTCGAAAGAAGACAATGTAATTAAATGATGAATTGATATTTATTAATATATTATTTTTCTCTTTTTTCTGTCTTGTCTACAATAGACAAATATTCCTATTGGTCTTTTGTTCATTCGGTTAAAAGTAGCAAATGTTCAATGAACCAAGCATTACTATTAGACATAAAACGTTTAATTGTTACATAAATATGATCTTTTGGTCTTCATGACAACACCCGAAAGACGCCATATAAGGTTTGTTCTGTGTTGTGGCCTATGGCCTTCAATTCGACATTTCGATATATCGACGACGTATCATCAATTAACATAGTTACTTCGATTCGATGAAGTGATCTTGAAATAAAAGAAACCACAGAGTCTGACACATCTGTTTTATTTTTAGATATTTTACTAGAAAAAGACGATAATGGTAACCTAAAAACAAAACTTCATGATAAACGTAATTTCAACTTTTCTATTGCCAACTTCCCTTATTTATGTAGCTATATACCCTTATCACCTGCATATGGGATTCATATATCTCAGTTGATTCGATACGCAAGAGAATTCTTTACGTATGAACAATTTCTAAAACGAGGCAAGCTATTGACAAACAAGTAGATGAAACAAGGAAATCAACAATCTCGTTTAAAGTCATCATTTCGCAAGTTTTATGGTCGATACAATGACCTTGTCGGCACATACAACCTATCATTGAGTCAAATGCTGGCTGACGTTTTTCATACTAATTGTTAGGCCATTATTTATTAACTGAACTCTCTACGGATTTTTTCGTTTCTTTTTCCGATCCTGACAAGGAGCACAAGGCGGGTTTGACCGACTGGTCCGCAGGGGATGCTCACTCCTTCATGGCACCTGATCCCACCTCTAAATTTTGAGGTCAGTTTTTGTTCTGCTCCAAATTTGTATCGTTGCATTGGACTTTCGAGATTAAATACTGTTCGTTATCTTAGTATTTCATGAGGGAATAATACATTTTCAAAAAACTCAAATCCTTAAGATTTTTTGTATTTCGCTCTTACTTACTATAAAGCAAATAGCTTTTGGGGGGTAATTATTTAGTGATTACCAATACATTGAACTCTACACACCCTCTCAGAGCCTGTGTACACATGTATTAATCAAGTAATAGCAGAGTTTTCCCTCAACGTCATACTTTGACAGGTTTCATACCATTTGGTAGGTCATTGGTTGTATACTAAATTTTACTACGGACTATTTCGTCTACCTGATCAACAAACAGTGTTTACAACGGGTGTGACCGGTCGACAGGGGATGCTTACTCCTCCTAGGCAGCTGATCCCATCTCTACAGTTTCCAGGGGTCCCTGTTTTATGCCCTGTTCACAAATTTTTACTTTAAACTTGAGATCGATCACTGTTCGTTATCTTCACCTCTTTCTTTAATGAACCAACTCTTAAAAAGAAAACAAAAACACGCAGTTCAAAAAGCTGTTATGTAGATGCACATGGATAATTAAACTTAAAGAATGTTTCCTTCATGAAGTATTCAGATATGTATTTTGTTTCTTAATGGCGTGGATGTGAAATGATATATAACAATACTTAGTCTGTCTTGTGCAAGTTCAGTTGGATGCATTGTTGATTTGTGAAAGAATTCGCATAAAGAAACATTTCCCCCTTCTTTTTATTCCCGCATTATTTCACTCATTGCTTCAGGTCCATTTTTCAAAGGTGTCAACTATACAAATACCAAGATGAAAATAATGTTTTTCTAAGTATATTAGATAGTATCCGATTAATTATGACAAAATAATATAGCCAATGTGTATGAAACGACATCCAAGTGAGATTAATATTGAATAGATATCAACAGAAAAACATTCCGGTATGTCAGTCCTATGATTAATAGCCATAATAACATCTCCCTGGTAGATAAGCTATTATCGACAGTAGTGTGATCACTTCGCTTACCAAAGAAATAAATAACAGAAATACTTAGGGATTAGTACATGACAATGTATTAAGCATGATCTATTTTTTTTCCTGACTTTAAGCTTACATTGGGCACATCTTTAGCAAGGTCTCCAATCGACATCTTGTTATAGATAGCCCCCGTATCGTGTCTCTCCGAGGATGGCTTGGTTATCTGCAATACAAAAGAAAAACATATTTGTTTGTGTAAGGTTAGGCCATCTTTTATAAAATACCTGCTTGCAATCTCCCGACTCAAGAAAAAAAGTTTGGTCGGTAATTAGGTTAGGAGTTTTTCCCCTTAAATTTTCAGCATTAATGCTGAACTTTCAAAGTTTATTTAAATTGAAGGTACATGTATTTATAAAATAAAATGGTTGTTGACGGGAATAAGAAAACTCCGGAATAAATAAATAAAAAAAAAAAGCCATGTCCTGGGGGACAAATTTTGAGTCCATTTTAGTCAGTCGGTCGGGAGAGGACAAACAGACCTTTTTTTCAAAGATGATTTTAGTTTCCCAACTTTAAACTCTGGGGTAAAATATTATAGAATATCATTTATCGAATGCGTACGAAACTGAAAATACAGTTATTTTACTTAATGTGCTTTGAATCTTTAATTAGGACTATTTTTGAAATATTTCAATAATATATAAAGATCATTTTCAATAATTGTGTTACAGCTAAGAATATATTTTTGTTCTTCTTGAATATCTGAATTTTGCTTACATTAGCAATTTTGGTTTCAAACTCGAACACTTGTCTCATTTCCCTCTCTGCATCTGATCGAGTTGCCCCCAGCAGGACTGCTGTATCCATCATATACTGGAGATAGGCCTGGATGTAATCAGACCCCGGGTCGTGGAGGAAGTATTCACGACTGGGCATCCCAAAGTCTGGCTGGTCTATCTACACCAAAAACACAAACTTTCATATTTCTTTTAAAAGCATTTTATTGGAATTGGAAAATTATAATCATTGAGCGTTTGAGTCAACAGAGAACATATATTAGATCTAGTCAATTACTGTGAAAGAGAAACTTCACACTCACTGTGCTATAACACTAAAGTGGTGTAAATCAAATGTGAATTCTCCAGAACCCAGAAATTTTGAATCTCAAAACTTTTCTAAAAACCAATAGCATCAAAACATATGACTTTTCAACGCTTTGTACAACCATTAATCCTTACAATAAATTAAAAAGTTGGCTTTTTGACATAGACAGCTGCTTCCTCATTAAAAATGAGCTCTTAAATTTTCAAACCGTGTGCTGTGTCATCCTCCTCACAACGCCATGAGTCCTATGTCAGCTCGTTGCCGTGGGACCCACGGCAACGAGTTGACACAAGATCCCTAACCCCTAGCATTCTGAGGCTGTTTGGTCGTCTAAAAAATTACTTTGTTTAAAATTATAAAACCATTCCCATTCTACATACAAGTACTCTGAAGTTGATATTATAAGATGCTGGCGTTCCTCATTGGCAATATCTATGTAGTCTTTGGAAGCCAGGCCCTCTGAAAATCTGTTTGAATTTCGAAGGGCACTAATTGTGTCCCTTTATTAGCCGACCTGTTTTTATACTTTTATGAAGCAGAATATATTCAAAAACTTCTACATGAGAGAAAACTCTTGCTATGGCTTTCAATTCAACATTTCAATATATCCTTTCATTTTATTAAATCTCAATTAACAATAACTATTTTTAACTCGATATGACCCACTGGGCCCGAGATGAAGAACACCACAGAATCTGCTGCGTCTGCTTCTACGTGGATATTTTTATTGTCTATAGACTGCCAACTGGCAGCCAGGCTATTTGACAAACGGGATGTATGTTTGTTGTTTAATGTCCCTCTCGAGAATTTTTCACTCATATGGAGACGCCACCAATTGCCGGTGGAGAGCTGCAAATTTTGTCCTATGCTCGGCACTTACGGCCATTGAGCAGTGAGGGGTCTTTTTCGTGCCAACACCTACTGCGACACGGGACCTCGGTTTATACGGTCTCATCCGAAGGACCGGTCTCCACGTCCCACAGTGGGAGTCGAACCCGCGACGTAAGGATCAACTCCTTACCTCGCGACTCTAGAGCAGACGCTCTAACCACTGCGCCACGCGGGCGACGACAAACGGGATGACTTCAGCTTTTCGTAGTCTGCTTTCCTGTTTGTGTAGTGATTTTCCGCGTGTGTTTGTGTCCCGGATGATTCGATACTCAAGTGTAGGTGAGAGCAGTCATTTTTAAAGGGGGACGGGTACTGACAAATGAGTTGATGTTGCAGGATTTTCGGATGTCTTGTTTAGGGTCGGCATTTCGCAAAGTCTTTGGTCGCTTTGATGACGTTGTTTGCGGATGTATCCTGTCGCTGGGTCATGTTTTATCTGGTATGTTTTCCGCCGCTTATTGGGATATTTTGACTAGTTGCTTCGTTTGCCTGGTCGATACGAGGGGCTCACGGTCGATGTGGTCAGTCGGCGAGGGATACTTGCTCCTTCTGTGCACCTGATCCCGCTTCTGCTGTTTCTAGAGGTCCGTGTTTTTATCTTGTTCACGACTCGTATTCTTTACTAGACATATTAGATTGATGACTGTTATCTTCACCTTTTACATTAGAAATTGTGAGGAGCGAGATGGTGTATTCACTGTGTCATTTATCTTGTTGATCGTACTGTATGATGTTGAATTTGTTTTAACTATCTCTAAATCATGACAAATACATCTTAATTGGGCAGAGTCTTACCACAAAGATTAATCAACTTAAAGATGTTAAATCACTCTACATAAAAAGTCTATCTACATGTTTATGAAATATTCAGTGCCCTTGATATATAATAGTTAAAAAAAAGATAACATGATATCCTTGTCCAGTGATTTTTTTTCCATTTTATTATTAAAATCTCTTTTATCAAACCATTTCCTTGTAGTAATTAAGAGGTTTTTCAAAGAAAACTTTAAATAAACCCTTTAGATCATTTTTTATTACACTTCTTATTTGCCAATGTATGGTCTACGTGAAAACCAAACAAGACGTCAGTATTGTGGTATTAAAGAACTTAGAGTCGCCTCGTATTGTGTGGCATGGAAAAGTGCGCTTATGACACCTTTAGCTTTCGTGCCACAAATCACAACAAGATATAGATATCTATTTAAGCTTACATAATCCATTAAGGTTACTATTGTGTTCATGATACTCCGTCTCACTTCCTAAGCTGTCGGTCTAGCATGATTTATGTATGATTCCCTCATATACATATATATCAGATTCCTATTTTTTACTTCATTCCATTTTTTTTTAAAAAAAAGAACTGAGATAAAAAAAAAACTGACAGAAAATTTGACAACCTGTATTATATTAGATGTAGAATTTTTGTCGTCCGCCGCCACAGAACAAAACAGGATGATATTGCTGGTAAAATTGGCTCTCACTAGACCCAAAACGTCCTCTATAATAAAGTTATCTCCCCTCCAGCTCTTCTCTACGACTGGCCAACCTCCAAGTAGAGAAATCACTCGACGTAAGGGTGCATCACCAACAGCTTCTATTCTACCTGTAATTAAAATTTTACCTTTTTCAAATACAAATATGGCATTGTTTGCTATGAACTATCTTTATTTATTATTTAATAATAGTGCCATATGAGTTTTACAATACCATAACTAAAAGTAAGAAGATTGGCGAACAAGGCGAGCGAAATGCCTATAGTGCGACAAACATGAAGGTGAAAAATTAAATCTCAAAATTTTCTTTGATATTTCATGTAACATTAAAGTATACGTTGTGTAAAATCTCCACAATTTTTCAAAAGCCTCACCAAAAATTGCAATTATTTGCCTATGAAAAGCAAACACACACTAAAGAGGACAAAAAGATCATACTATAACACAATTTTAGATTTGAGTGGGTCTTCACTCCACTTCTTTGAAAGTTTTTCCTCAAAGGTAGCGTATAAAATATAATTTTTTTGGTTAACAAAAATATAGAGCAATGACCCCCTATACCTTAAAAATACACTTTCGTGACACAACGTTCGCAGTCCATTCAGTCAAGGGTCACATCTTAAACATGATTCATCAGGAGTTGCGTATAGTGGTTAGCGTGTTGGTCTCAAATGAAAATGATACTCAGAATTTTATTGCTAGGGTTCGAACCCCATGAATACCACATTATTTTTTAATAAAAGAATAATTTTTGTCGCGAAAATTTTCCTCAGAAAAGTTTTGTGTATTATAATTTTATAAATTTCAATAATGAGAACTTAAATCTAAATACTAAATTCACAAACTGAATATGATATTCATGTATCTGAAGATATAGGCATTCCGTCGCCTTGTTCACCCATCTCCTTTTTCATATGGACCTATACTCTGATTTATGACGGTGAATTATGCACTCTATTGTGCACTTAAGTAACAAGTCAAATTAACTGATCAATGTCGTAAACTTAAAATGATAATCATTTTCATTTTTAACAATATTTGATTCCGATGCCAATGATCATATGGATAGATTTGAACTGTTCTCATAAAGTATTCAAACACTTCTTGGGTATGACTTTAAAATCAACTTAAATTGCAAAGAAGTTTTAAAAACATTATCGCCATCAAATACATTTTCTCACCAAATATCCAATTGCATTTCATTTATCGATACAATATCAAGAAAAATTTCTACTCTTCCGAGCTGAAATCAAACTAACATTTTTCTTCTCACTTTGAAATATTTTGTAACCATATCAATGTATGCATAATGTATTTTGTTCTCTCTTTATTAATAACCCTCATAAATAATCTGCCAATAATATTTTCTGGTAACGTGTTGAAATTCTCATAATTGAACTCAGCATACTGCACTTTATCATATTAATATTGATTCTGAATGCATGACTCCCCTCTGATAAAGCACACATAAAAGTTTAACGATAGCGCTATGATACCATCATTTGTAGGGGCCTCCCTAATCCAACTAATTTCTTTAACGGAAGCTCATCAGAGAGGACTAACTGTTTCCTGTATAGGATTTAGAATGATTTATCTCCCACTAAGATTAACATTCTATTCATTTAAAAAATGTTTAGGTGGAATAGAAGAATTGAGGATTGAGTACATTTTCCAAGACATGACAGATTAACCCACAACATTATAACTGTGTCTTTGAAGGTTTCTTGACTACAAAATTTTCTGCTAATGACAGTCTTAAAAGGAAATGACAGGGAAACGAGCCATTTACTAGTAAAAGAAGCCAAGACTTCAAGAGGGAAAAAATCCGGTTTGCATAATATCTTGAAGAATACCTTTTTACATTCTTTAAATTATATGATAGCTGGTGTTTTCTTTTGTTCTTTTGAACCACGCTGTTTGCTATCGTTAGGAACACTTACTTGTGTTTACACATGATCTGTATAACTGCTTGGCCTTTGATGTTGCTATGCTATCATAACTCTGTTCTTTTTCTTTTAATAAGCCTGTACAGAGAGAAGGATGCAACATAATGGATCACGACATTTTGCACTTCATATTGCCAATAAAAGTTTTAAAAAATATTTCCATTCTATTTTCAAATTAAATTCATAGTCAGTCTCTAAATAAAAGAAATTTTCAAACAGATCAACATGAAACCTCAAACTTGCAATATTGGGGGGAAATGATGATAATAAATAAATTTATAAGTTCTATGATATTCTATATATATGTAAGAAATGATGATAATAAATAAATTGATGAGTTCTATGATATTTTATATATGTAAGAAATGATGATAATAAATAAATTGATGAATTCTATGATATTCGATGAGTTCTATGATATTTTATATATGTAAGAAATGATGATAATAAATAAATTGATGAATTCTATGATATTCTATATATATGTAAGAAATGATGATAATAAATAAATTGATGAGTTCTATGATATTTTATATATGTAAGAAATGATGTTAATAAATAAATTGATGAGTTCTATGATATTTTATATATGTAAGAAATGATGATAATAAATAAATTGATGAATTCTATGATATTCGATGAGTTCTATGATATTTTATATATGTAAGAAATGATGATAATAAATAAATTGATGAATTCTATGATATTCTATATATATGTAAGAAATGATGATAATAAATAAATTGATGAGTTCTATGATATTTTATATATGTAAGAAATGATGATAATAAATAAATTGATGAATTCTATGATATTCTATATATATATATGTAAGAAATGATGATAATAAATAAATTGATGAATTCTATGATATTCGATGAGTTCTATGATATTTTATATATGTAAAGCTTTCTTACTTCTGAGTTTTATTTGCAAGTCATCATGAAGTTTCTCGAATGTATTGAAACTTGGTCTGTCATCTGGAATGATGTGTTTTTTATTCCAGTTGCCACAGGCGTACTGATAGAAGTCTTGACAGGGATTTATTGAGGGGTCTATGGACTCCAGAAGCTGAGAAGCTAATGGCAAAAAAGAACCATAGATGTCAATACTGAGTGCTCTATTATCGGTAATCAAAGGATGGAATACCGCAGTTATGTCTACATGTTTTTAAGTTTGACAAGAAGTAATTAAAAAACTATGTCAAGGGAACTTTAGAGTAACTATGTCATGATCAAAGAGAAAAAAACAAAACAGCAATTTGAAATGGTTGTTATAAAAAAAATGTCCCGGATTTTTGCTAATTATATTGCCAACGGATACCTGGATAATGGTCCTTATGATCAATAGGTATGGTCACCAAATTATTAGTTTTTTATTATCAATTTAGACGTTTTTATTTGAAAACACCTGCTTAAAAAGTGATTGAAAGCAAAGTCATCGTTGCCCTACGGTTATGTAGTTAAGAAATTATAGAATAAAACGTATGGTTTAGAGTCTTTATAATTGACATAAACATCAAGGATTTTCAGGCTGTGTCCTTGAAGAATATTATTAAGACAATCCTGTAGCATTTTACTGCCAATCAAGGGTTCACATTATATTGAAATGAATGTCTTCAATCGTTGCCCTCAGTGAACAATAACTATTATTCTTGTTGTTACTTATAACAATTAGATCACACTTATGGCACGCCAAATTCACAAAAATGAGCTAAACATATTTCACAGTTTATAAACTAGGTTTGTCGACAGTAAATTATTGTTTACTGATCCTAAATTATAGATAACGAGGTTAATCTATATTTCACATCACTAAATCATTGTTTACGCCTTGATCTATGTTATACAAGTGAAAACTAAACTTAACACTGAAAACAATCATTTCATTGATTATATGTTTGTTTTACGTCCCATTCGAGAATTTTTCACTTATATAGAGACGCCACCATATATCGGTGAAGGGCTTCAAATGTAGACCTTTACTCAGTGCCATTGAGCAGTGAGGGTTCTTTATCTTGCCAATGCCTACCGTGACACGGGGTTTCGGTTGTTAAGGTCTCATCCGAAGGACCCGCAACTTTCCCCAAAGTGCCGAGCGCTTGGCGAAGGACAGTTGCTACATGTACCTATTTTTTATCGACTTAGGTCAGTCGCGGCCGTAATTCAAACGCTCACGGAGTGAGCGCTCTACCGACTGAGCTACCGTGACGGTCATATGCAATTGCAAAACAGTTTATTTGATAAATACGGTTTCACGATAAATTTGTAAACTATAGTTTACAACTCTAAACTATAGTTAACGAATGTTAATTATAGTTTACGAGAATCTCTGAATTTGAAAACTATCGTTAAGAGTTAACAGGTATTAAGATTCATAATCTATATCTTTCAACTATTAACTACAGTTAACGAGTGTGAATTATAGTTCATAACCATAAACTTTTATTGGCAAATGAGTCATAGTTGATGTCTCAAAACTAGAGTTTACGATCCTTTATTTTAGTTCAGGTCTGTTAATTATTATAATTTATGAGTATTAATGACAATTAATTATAGTTTACGAGCGAAATCTATAACTAACGAATGTAAAACATACTAACAGTTTATCTGAGAAATATAGTTTCACGATTTGTGAAACTATGATTAACAACTCTTTTCTATGGTTAACGGCTGTATATTATAGTTTAAAAATGGGAAGTTATATTTATCGGCAAAATCTATAGTAAACGTTTATTTACAGACAGATAAACGACGAATAGCATTCGTAAAGTATAGTTTACAACCGTTAAATATAGTTTTACAGATGAAAACTATAAATAAAGAATCGTTAACTATATCAGACTGAAGTTTACAATCGATAACCTTTACACTATGTTTTCTAATTTTTGTGAAATTGGGGGGCCATACACATTTTCTATGAGAGTGAATGATGGTATACAAACAAAGTCAATTAACAATTACAAAGAAGTCAATTAACAATTACAAACAAGTCACGTAACAATTACAAACAAGTCAGGTAACAATTACAAACAAGTCAGTTAATAATTACAAATGAGTCAATTAACAATTACAAATAAGTCAATTAAAAATTACAAACGAGTCAGGAAACAATTACAAACAAGTCAGTTAACAATTACAAACAAGTCAATTAAAAATTACAAACGATCGAGTCAGGAAACAATTACAAACAAGTCAGTTAACAATTACAAACAAGTCAATTAAAAAATACAAACGAGTCAGGAAACAATTACAAACAAGTCAGTTAAGAATTACAAATAAGTCAATTAAAAATTACAAACAAGAATTAAGAAATAAAGAAACAAGAATTTAAAAATTCAAAAATTTGTCCTATAGAAAATGCACTAAGGGTCATTAAAAAATACGTAGACTTTTCTCACAGTATTTTTTTTTATTAAACGTCATATTATAATTAACCTTTTTTATTATATTTTAACAATAAACTGAAATAATTTGAACACGATTAATTAAATCTGTGTTACATTTTAACAATATTTACTTCTTTTGTATAATATTTGAACTCTTACATGTGTAATATTTCAAGAATGTAAGGGTAATACTAAGTATTTGAACACTAAAAAGAATGAACACTTTATAACCGTAAGTGTAATATTTGAACATTAATAACTGTATGGTATAATATTTAAATACAAATAACTACTATAAACGTACTTTTTCTTCGCGGATTCAAATCTCTGCGGAATCACAATTTCTGTTAAATCAGCGGTTATACAGCTATGCAGATTTCTTGGATTGCCATTTTATGTGACAAAGTTTGTGATCGCGTACACAGCGTAAATTAATTCCACACGAAAAAAGCATATCTACAGTAAATTGCCCTAATTATTATTAACCCAACTACAAAGTGCATAATTAGATAACTTATAATGAATACGTGAAATGGTAATAAATATATTTCTGCTGACTTACCAGTTTCAATACAGTCTTTTGTTAAACAAACATTTGATGTGGTTTCTACAAAAAAACAAAAGGATTAATTATTACCAATAAGATTTTCATATCTCATTTTTGCTGAACAATGAACGGGATAAAAGTACTGCGCATTTAATTGTAAAATTGACATGGCATAACTGTCAAAGCTCCATGACTTCCTGGGTCCTTAACTTTAATACAACGTTTAACCTCTGGGGTTCATAAATTAATTCTAATGGACTATAAAATAGTCATGATCTACAAAAGCATGTCAGATGTCTTTTAATTGAATAATGATTCAAAATAGTTTGTATGTTAATGAGCAAATAAAATTTCAGTTATGATACAGATCATGGCACGAGGTTTATTTTTTCACACATATACTTGTAAAAGGAAATCAACATATATACGAAAAGTACACACAAACTTTTATGGTATAAGTTTTAGTCTAGACTTTCTTAATATCCCGGTTGACAGCTAGATTATTATTTATATATATGTTAACCAGGGCAAATTCTAAAAAGAGTAAAGACAATGAATACACGCTGTACGATGCCTTATGGTCTGAATGTTAGCCAGCGTATTCCTCAGAAATTCTGGTGCACGGAAACATGCCATTTAAGTTGCAACAACAATTGTCTGTATACTGTAGTTAGGAATAAACAAATAAAGTTCTAGAAGATAATACCTGTACATGTATAACTCAATGTAAAATTATGTAGTATATGAGTTATCTGAAATATGAAAGAGGGAGGTTCTCAGAGAGTGTCAATGGCCCTTAATACTTTAAAAAAAATAAACAAATTAAGATGCGTCAGTTTAATAAGGCAAAATCTATATTGTATCGTGTGACTACATATCTAAATCAAAAGCCTGAAAGGCTTCAATGACGTCGAAGAAGAAAAACAATTTCAAAAGATCATTTTGAATTTGAAGATAGTAATAAGTCAAGTGAGTGACTCAGGAGAAATAATAAAAAAAAAATAGTTTTAAACAAAATATCACAATTACAGTCTGGGGCCTTATGTCATGGTCCGAATGGAGCAGGGTGCGAATTGACCAGACACCGTCGAACATGTTTATGCTAAATTCTTTTCAGTCAGTTGAAGAACTATGAAGGATTTCATGAATTTATATAGTATTTTTTCTAATTGCCAATGTCATAGCGTTGTATTAGTGATTGCATCTAAACTACAACCAAGACTGTTCTGTTACAGTTACGATCGAGTTACGATCGGGCGTGGTATACGGTATACTGGGAAATGGAGGAAATAGAGAAATACAGTAATACTGGTCAATATCATCGGTTTTTAGGATAGAGTTGATTAGAAGATTGTATAAGTAAAGCTAAGATTTAGAAATTCAATCTTTTTAGTCTTGTAGTATTCGTGTTTATGTAATTTTGTAATTATTTTACCTCCTGTTGTGTTGTTTATGTTACACGGTTATCGTTCCGAAATGTTATTCATGTCATTCAACGCACCCTTTCTGTAGAAATTCATCCGCAACAACCATCACTTTTTTCTTGTGTGAGAATAAAACATAATATTGTTGTTTTGCAATAGAATTAATTGCAGATATAATTGATGCAATTTTATTTTCAAGCTATTATTCATTTTGAGCGTTTTCAAAGAAATTGGTTTATAGCTATTGCTATTTTCTATTGCGGATGCATCGACTGACACATTCGGTCGCGTACATATCCGGTCGCGATTTCAACTGGGCGCTTGCTAGATGACGTTCGAGCTCCAAGAGCTCGACGTCATAAAAACGAATATACATGTATAATGACTTTTTTGTGAAAGTGTGACTCCACCCATCCAGATAAACGGACAAAGTGAAGCCAAAGTGTCCGTCATTTCTCGGAGATGATATAGTATAAAATTCTCGTTAGTGACTGTTAATTATGATCTAAATAATTTGTATTACTGTCCCTATTTCATGAGCATTTCTACAGAAAAGGCATGGACAGTTATATCATGTTGTAAATTTTGCATTAATTTACCTCCACCTAATAAACTCAAAATTAACAAGACATGCTAGTACAACGAAGTATTGCTGTTCATTTCACATGCTTGAGGATTTTACTCGTATTTAATTCTTACTTAAATATTTAAAAAATCTACCAATTTTGTATAAAATCCAAGAGTATAAAATATGAAGATAACGAACAGATTCAATCTCGAAAGTCCAATGAAATGATACAAATTGGAGCAGAGCAAACACGGACTTCAAAATTTAGAGGTGGGATCAGGTGCCATGGAGGAGTGAGCATCCCCTGCCGACTAGGGCTGGGACGATATATCGAGATATCGATTCAATGTAAGGATGATACGCATATCGATACGTATGAGGAATATCGAAATATCGTCAAAAAATTCTGACTTATGTTTTTCTTTGTTTACTTAAAATTTTGGGTTAACCTTATAAAATAAATATGCTAAATATAAATATGAAATACATAATAACTAATACCACTTGTGTAAAATGATTTTGTTTTACAACAGATATACAACTTCTTTGAATAAATTAATCTTATTTGGGAGGAAATGTTTCGTTCATTTCAATACAAAAAAAGTTTTATAACCAATTCAACATATCGTGATACATATCGTATCGTGGCTCAAATATCGTGATACGTATCGATATAGAAAAAAAATTGTATCGTCCCAGCCCTACTGCCGACCGGTCACGCCCGCCGTGTGCTCCATGTCATGATCGGGGGAAAACCCCCGGAAATATCCGTAGACAGGTCAGTGTATAAGTAATGGACTAACAATTAGTATGAAAAACATCAGTCAGCATTTGACTCAATGATAGGTTGTATGTGCTGACAAGGTCATTGTATCGACCGTAAAACTTACGAGATGATGACTTCAAACGAGACTGTTGATATCCTTGTTTCATCAACTTGTTTGTCAATAGTTTGCCTCGTTTTAGAAATTGTTCATACGTAGAGCATGCTCTTGCATATCGAATCAACTGAGAGACATAAACCCCATATTCAGGTGATAAGGGTATATTGCTACATAAGTAAGGGAAGTTGACGGTTGGAAAGTTGAAGTCATCACGTTTATCATAAAGCTTTGTTATTAGATTATCATGAACGTCTTTTTCTATTAAAATATCTAAATATGAAACAGATGTGTCAGAATCTGTGGTATCTTTTATCTCAAGCTGACTGGGATATATCGAGTCGACATATGAATGAAAGTTACAATTGTTAATTGATAATACGTCGTCGATATAACATAATGTCGAGTTGAAGGCCACAGCAAGTGTTTTCTTCTTGTCATGTAGAAATTTTTGGATGAATTCTGATTCTTATGAATACAAACATAGGTCTGCTAATAAGGGGGCACAATTGGTACCCAAGGGAATTCCAACAGATTGTTGGAAGACCTGATCTCAAAAACTACATAGATATTGTCAATCAGAAACTCAAGCATCTTTTTAATATCAACTTCAGAGTAATTGTGTGTACAATCAGAATTCTTTTTAACAAAATAATTTTGCAAATGACCAACGACAAGGTAAGTATATTTACGAGTTTCATTTTTATTGAAAAAGCAGCTGTCTATGATGTCAAAAAGCCTGGACTTCAATTTATCGTGTGGAATGGTTGTATAAAGTGTTGAAAAGTCGTACGTTTTGATGTTATTGATTTTAGTTTAATTTTGTGATTTCAAATTTCTAAAGTTATTTCAACCTCAATACTACTATACTTCTATGTGTTGATGAGTATCTTTTTTGTCAATGTGTAAGATTGACTATACAGTGCAGTTTGACAGCACTGTAGTGTGATGAATGCGGAGACCATTTTGTACATGTACATAACACGTTAATTCATACTAATTGTTAGACCATTACTTATACACTGAACTGTCTACGGATTTTTCTGGGTTTTTCCCGATGATGACAAGGAGCCCACGGCGGGTGTGACCGGTAGGCAGGGGGTGCTCACTCCTCCATGGCACCTGATCCCACCTCTAAATTATGAGGTCCGTGTTTGCTCTGCTCCAAATTTGTATCGTTTCATTGTACATTCGAGATTGAATACTGTTCGTTATTTTCGTGTTTTATTTATTTATAGCAGTTTTATATACACCGTGTGTTTTATTTTATTTATTTAGATAGTAAGCTGTTCATCACGACAAAAAGCACAGACAGAATTGAAAATAGAAGCAATGCTAACACGTTTATTCTCAGATATTTCGTTTGCTTATACAACTAACAACTGTTTGTCTATCCCAATACAAAGTTGTAAGTTATTTTATTCTTCCTAGAAATTCATTTCAAATGCGGAGCACTTTCTTACCCACTATGTGACTTTCATGGCAAACATCCGTACAAAACGTGCGCTAATGTAACGTACATGCACGCTTAGATCCCTTTAGTCCCTGTCGATAGTGTTTGATGTGGTTGTAAGAGGTACCTTTTTTTAAATATAATTTTGTCTTTCAATGATAACCATTTTATATTCAGAAAAATGGCTTTTGAAAGCTAAAACTCACTCAGAAAAAAAATATCAACATTGTAATAAGACCCATGCAAAATTAACAGCATAGTGTAAATTTTGCATTAACCTCAACCTAGTCAACATGATAAAGACAGAGTCGTAAAATTCTAGTAATACGGTGAAAAATCAAGATAGAATAAAATATTGAGATAACGAACAGTATTCAAGCTCAAAGTCCATTCAAATAATACAAATCGGGAGGAGAGCAAACAAGGAGCATCAAATACATCAGAGACGGGATCAGGTGCCATGAAGGAGTAAACAAGTGGACTGGAGGATCATATAGACTACAATTGTGCTTTTTGTGGTAAAGAAAATGGTTTTTGTAATACTGTCATGTTGTAAGCACTTATGCTTTTATTATTGATAATTTATTAATAACAAATTTACATGTATTAATTTAGCTTAAAATCTTTCATAATAAATTTTATAGCAGAATACACACTTACAATCTTATAAACAACTTTTTTTCTCTAGTTCAAGTTAGGGCTGGGACGATACAATTTTTTTTTCTATATCGATA